AAAACATTAATAAAAGACTTCGAGCGATTAAATTTGGCGGTAATCTTAACTCGCCCAATCGAAATAAATTTGATACGCGAAATTGCATGTGTTACCTTATATTAAAGATCTGAGCGAGAATATTACGCGTTGCATTAATAAAGTGGAATTGATGCTTTGTATACTGTCCCAAAAAATTGGACACATTGATAAAAAGAGGTAAAGATGGGATCGAAAACTTAAAAGAACTGATGTGGTTTATAAAATTGAATGTACGAATTGCGATTCGGCTTATATTGGACAGACAAAGAGACATTTAGAAACGCGCATTAAAGAACATAGAAATAACATAAAAAAAGACAAGACATTGCATTCTGTCGTTAGTTTGCATCGGACTTGCAACGATCATGAGTTCTGTTGGGATTCTCCGGTGATTCTGCATGAAGAAAAACAAACAAGAAAAAGAGAAATTGCAGAAATGTTTTACATAAAAAACAAGGAAAAAGTATTAATTTACAGAAAGATACGGAGAATTTTAGTGGGATTTATGATCGTGTTCTTGACGTTATTTAAGTCGTTTTTATTTTTACTTTTATTTTTATTTTTATATCCACCTATTTATTTATTTTTATTTATTTGACTTTATTATGACGATTTAAATTACGAAAGACACATTTAGTTTCGTCTCTATTTTCTTAACGCTTAGTGACTAAGATTCTTGCGAACAGTTAACATCTATTTATTATGTGCTTACTTCTGTCAGTCTTGCATTGTTCATCAAAACAAGCGTTAACATTGTCGGTTGTTTGCATAGAAGTTGATTTATTGTTTTAAATTTGGTACGTAACACATTTTTGTTTTTAAATGTATAATTATTTGTTGCGAATAAGTGTATTAAATTATAATTATTTTGATTGAACTTTTTATAGATGTACAATACTTGAAAAGGGCTGCAATGACAGCCGAAACGTTGTATTTCAAATAATTATTTATAATAAATTATCGCCAGTCTGGTCGACTTTAAACGTTGAGGAGTAGTTTTTTATTAATTATTACTGGCAACCTTAAGGATTATTATTTACTTTTAATTGTCTTTTCATTACTAAATTATTAAAATTCTGTTTTCCAAAGTTTCTCGTACTTTTTATTATTTATAAAAAATATCTGTATGTATTTTAATACTTACTTGTGATGACAATATATTAAAGGTTGCGTAGTCCTTAGCTATTATTTTATCACGGTTCGATAAAAAGTTTCATTCGAATAATATGTTCACGGTTTTTAATTTTAAGTACACTTGAGAAGGACCAAAACCCATGGTCGAAACGTTGGGTGGTGATTATTAAATATTTATTAGCCAGTAATGGTCGTAAAAATTAATTATCCTTTCAAATATATTAAAATTAATAATGATTAAAATTTAATTTTTACTTATTATTAAGTTGTATTTCTCAAACGTATTAGTATTCTACTATCAGTATATATACAAAATAGAAGTCAAAATAGTAATTCGGCTAATTAAAATTATGATCATTTTTATATTATCAAGCAACTGTCATCGCAAAAATTAACAATTTGACAATTGTAAAATGAATAATAGAAATAATATCAAAAGCGTGCGCCAAGCGCGCTCTTGTGTCGTCTAGTGATTTAAAAAACACATCAATACTATATTTAATTTCTCTATTTGTCTTTTGCTTACAGTGTGTTTTACAGATCTAAAATAAATTTTACGACACGATGATAATTCTAAACCTACTATTAATTAGCGAAATAATATATATCGTTGGGACGGCTTCTACTTTTAATGAATCATCTTTATGCTATCAACCATCAAAATATATAAAACCAAATCATTACGATATCGAGTTTATATCATATATTGAAGAATACATTTTCTATGGAGAATACAATATTAGCATAAGCATTCTTAACAAAACGCGAAATATATTGATCAACAAATATTCAGAAAAATTATATTTTAAAAATATAGTTTTAATTAAAAATCTAGAAAAACATCATGAGAATATTAAGTATACAGTTTATAAACCGACATATGATATTCAAGAAGACATAATTGACGTTTCTTTTAAGGATGAGTTATTACCAGGAAATTACACTTTATATATTAAATATTTTGGTTTTACTGATGAAGTCTTTAGAATTTTCAATGTGAAAAAAAAAATTGCGTAAGCAAATAATATATGTTTATTAAAATCAATGTGCAATGTGCAATTACATAAAATCTCGTAATTAATATATATTATTTTTGTATTTAATGTTTCAAAATTATTATATATCATGCAATTTAAATATAAAGACTAGTTATTCTATACCTTTAATGCATATTATTACATATTACATTTAAACATTTTTAAATTCCAACATTTTGATATTTGCTAAAAATGTTTCATTAATTTATGTTTTTTGAAATGTATAGTTTGGTAGCTGTTACTTATTTGCATATAATAGGCACCCGACAAATGTCATCGTGTTGGGATCAACAGTATTTATTCTTAGGAGCAACTTTTAACATATCTATAGGATGTGATCAATGCACGGCTTTGTCAAATATGCCATTGCAAAATACAGAAAAAAACAAGCACAATATATTATTGAAACGCTTCGATACCACACCTGCAATGTCGCCATATCTTGCAACAATAATTGTATCCAATTACCTATTACGTGTTGATAATTATATTCAAAACATTGAAATGTGGTGCAGAAACAATACTGTATTTCACATGGAATTTGCAAAAAATGTAGCTGAAAATATCACGTTGTTCTTTAAAAATAAATGGAAACAACATTCGAGCAATATTTCGAAGGTGACTCATGTTGCAATTCCAAATTTCCCTGATAATGGCATAATAGTTTTTGGACTTGTTTTGTATAAGTGAGTACAAGTACTTAAAATTACTTTAAAAATAAAGTTATATATTAGTATGCAAAATTATAAAATTGAAAAACTTGTATGTATATTTTTAATTCTGTAAACGTGCGAAAGTATAAGTTATTGTAAAAATAACAATTTTAAGTAGTAAAAATTAATGTAAGAAAGTCGAATGTTAGTAAGATTAAATCAATGGGAATATATTTAAAACGACCACCTGGCTATTATTAATGGTGTTGAATTATTTGTGCAGCAAGGTTTTGACCCTGAATCGAGTCTTCTTTAGGTTAATCAATACAAAGAAAATTACAAATTATATAATACAATTAAAAAACTCTAATAAATGATGTACAAAGAGCAAAGTCAAAAAATATATAATAAAAATATAAAAAATTATCAAAGTTAATAAATAAAAAGTTAGTTTGATCAATGTAACACGCCGAGCAATCCTTGCAATTGATTTTATAGACGACGTTCATTCTTTTGTTAGGTAAAAGTTTATCTTTCCCTGTTTTTATTATGCTATTCAGTCTGTTAGGAACCGTATATAAAATATCATTATGATTATTGGGTACATGACAAACTTCCTCACTTATAACAAATATCTATTATTATTAACAAATATCTATTATCTCATTATTTAAAATGTATTAATTAACATTGACGTTTAACATTAGATTACTTTTTATTTATTAACTTTGATAATTTTTTACATTTTTATTATATATTTTTTGACTTTGCTCTTTGTACATCATTTATTAGAGTTTTCTATTTGTATTATATAATTTGTAATTTTCTTTGTATTGATTAACCTGAAGAGGACCCAATTCAGTTTTGAAACGTTGCTGCACAAATAAATCAACACCATTAATAGTAGCCAGTTGATCGTTTGAAATATTTTCTCATTAGTAAAAATTAAGTTTATTCGTATTATAACTCAAAATATTGTAGTTTATTGTTCTAATATATACAAACATAAAGGTAAACATTTTTATGCAATGTCGTATCCTTTAAGATAAATTTTAAAATTGTAATAAATCTATAAAAGAAATGACATTTTTTTATTCATTAAAACTAAACTGCTTCATCAATGATTTACGCATTAACACAAAATCATTGTTTGATACTTAAATTAAAAATTACAAAAAATATTATTTGTTACGATTTACAATACTGATTTGCTAAATTGTACCCATGGGTTTGTAAATCGTACATCTAACAATACGATTAAAAATTTATTACGAAATTAAAGTTTTATTTTCTATAAAAGTACTCAGTCTAACATTTAAATATTACTTTCAGCGAAATGGATATTGTTTACGATAAAAATTTATATTCTGTTGCTCACAAAATCGAAGTAGCTCAATTAGTAGGACATAAAGTGACACAGCAATGGTTTTATAATCTGAACAATCCGTTTCGATCGGCTTTTTGGTTTAACAAAGCTCTTACTACATTACTTGCAATGAATACTGTCAATAAGGTTATTTTAAATAATTATAAGGCTATCACCTCCCACTTTCTCGGAAACGATAACATACTTAACCATTTATATAGCAAGATTTTCGTATATCAAATTATTCTTACAAAATGCATAAATTTTTGCTAAATTATTTTAAAAACACTTAGCAATAAATACATATGTATACAATATTGAACTGTTTTTTAAAAATAATTTTTTTAATATTTACATTCATATAAATATAATGTGAACAATGCAAAGTAAGAAAAAAAATCTTTTTTAACACCCCCCCCCACTTTATCTGATATTTTTAAATATTTTAGATTTTATTATTATATTTATTTGTATGTGTATTATAAAATAAAAAAGTGTTTCTTTTTAACATAAAAGAACCGCTAATGATATTAGTATTTTTTTCTAATGCAAGTATTTTTAGAGCGGTTATATCGATATGTTAATAATTTTTTTTTACAGATTTATTCAGATAATCGAATAATAAATTTATTTGTTGTTCAAAATCAACATACTTCTTTTTATTTGGATGGTGATTATCGTATGTGGAATTCTACTTCACAAGATGACAGTTTATCGAAAATTCGCGAATCCATCAGAGGTATATAACGTAATATAATAAAATAATCCGCGTAAATTTTGAACTATTATTATTATAAAAATATGTGTAAAATTATAAGATATTTAATTCTTTATCTAGATTTTATTACAAAAATAATGTTATTAGAGTACACACACACACGCGCGCATATTTATGTACATTCTATAATTAATTTAAGATATATACATATACGTATATGTATATATGTATATATATACATATGCCTGTGTATATATATGTATATACATATATACATATATATATATATATATATATACAAAAGGTCCGGTAATAATCGCGCATGTGTGTAGATAATATTAATTGTTTGGTTCTTTAATATTTTGCTATCTTCGTAAAAATTAACGAAAAATTCATTTTAAAAATAAATAAAAAATTAAAAATAAAGAAATTTTTTTTAATATCACTATGTTTACATATAATCGTTATAATAAATATATATTTAAAATATATCTAATTTATATATAATTTTGATGTAAATTGTAGGACCCTTTATACTGCGCATGATGCAACATGTCTTTACCGAAGAAATATTTTGGAAAAACGTTCGCTCATATACAAATAGCACGTGAGTAAGACAATGCTTTGATATAACACACGTACAGAAGTTAAATAATACTTTATTATACAATCAGTCGATGTGTATCGTCGAAGAATCGAGCGAGCAAATCTGTCTGCGGCGGTTAATCGGTCGTATTTAGATTCTTGTTTATGTTTCTAGAAGCCTCTTTTAATTTTCGGTTATCACTTTGTCCGACAAGTTCGTCACGGCAATCGCAGTTATTTTCGTTTTACTTATTTATCTTTTCAAAACAGAGCGAGCTAACTCACACTGCTTTGTTTGCGTCTTTTATTATATCGAATTTGTCCTAAGGCACATAAATCCTGAGAACGATAAACGATCGACAGCGGAAAATATATGTTACAATTTTAAATATAATATAACGCGCAGATTTTTATTAATTTATTCCTACAATAAAATTATATAAATCTTAAATAATTTATAATCATACAAATTTATATAAATTTAAATAATGTCCTTTATTATTTTGCTTCTTCTGATATTATTTCATATTGCTTTTCATTATTTTGGTTCTATTATGAAAACCGCTTTTGTTGAAATAAATTGTTGTTTTGTCATTTTTTCATATATATATACATATTCATTGTTGTTTTATATTTTTGTTTAAAAATTTACTATTTTTTAAAATAATTTTTTAATTAATTTTTATTCTTTTCATTATTTCCTTTATTTCTTTCTATCGTGTATTATTTTTATGTGTTTTTTTTTATTGAATTTTGTGCTACATTCGTTTTTTAATCTTATTTTAAATATATCTAACACGTGTATCTCATTTGCATTGCTTTCTTTATTTTTATTTCATTTTTTTTCGTAGAACGATCTCTTTTATTATATGTTTTTAATTTTATGTGCTTTCTTTATCTTCAATTTATTTGTTTTGTTATTTCTTTTATTAATCATTTTATAATTCTTTCAATACCTTGATCAAATATAATCTGTATTATTAATACCTAACAAATCAAATAAAATTATTAAATTTTATTCAATATTATGTTATTATCATCATATAAATATAAGATATATATTTGGGTGCGTTCTTGTTCGTCAATTATGTTTCGCCGTTATCGCGAATCGGGTGAGGATATTTTATCCGGAATATTAATTTGGGGTTGCACAGTATAATGTATCTTACTTCATTTTATTCGTGTCACAAAAGATCTGATACAAACTTTTACTTTTCGCCGGGAAACAAAACGTGTTACGCGAACGCAAGTCTCTGGCCTCGAGGCCGCGCATTGTCTCGCTTCTCTCCATCATTCCGCGATCTTATTTTTATTTTTAGGTGATTAGACTCTATCTTTATTTTGAGGTACTCTCGTTTTTGATTATGTTCGGAAATCGAAATTTTCCTTCGTCATGTTAGTCGCTCGTTTATTTATTTATTGTTTTGTGTTACCGGTCGCGATATTCTTGACACACGTTGCTTGTAATTTTAATTTTTATTTTGTATATATTTTATATGCTTGTGGCATTTATCGCCACATATAAATATATAAATAAAAGTGCAATTATATTTTGCTTCTTAGTATTTATTAAAATTTTTTTTAATATTAAAATTATACATGCAATTTTAACATATTTATAATGTTTTCTTTACATAATTTACATACTTTGTGAATTTAGCCAATTTCATCGTCAAAGTTTTATGACTTTTTTGGAAAAAGTTGTTGCTGATGCAAAAAATGTAGATACTGAAATATCATTACAAACAATGAAATATTGGACTTTGGAAGAGCATTGTCCTCTCATCAAAGTAGTACGAAATTATGGTGGTCCTTGGATCGATATACATATATCGGTACAAAATTACGACACATTACAAACTGATTGCATTCCTGTAACTTTTACGACCCAGACGTATACCAATTTTAACAATTTTCCTCACTTCTGGCTATGCAAATCATGGGATTTAAATTCAACAAACTCACTTCTTGACGATGGTTGGATAATATTCAATATACAACAAATTGGTAATTATCGACCAATTGACTTATAATTATGACTTGTTACTCGTCTTTATTTTACACACACAATTGACATTATTTTATATTTTTTCTGTTTTATACATTATTATATAAAATATGAGATATTCATTATATATCCATTATATATAACTACAATAGTTTTAAAATGCTTCGTGTAATGTTCTGTGTTCTGTATTATTATATATAATTAATAAGATATATATATGGGCGTTTTCTACGTAATATCAATATTAAAGTTATATTTTTACAAATATTTTATTCTAATAATAATAAAAATTATTTAAAAAATTAACTATATTTATAAAATTAGTATACTAATATAAGTACACAGGTGAAATATAATTTTTGTACAGTTTCATATTACAGAAATTTTTCTCATTTGTATAAAGTAATTATTATATGCATAAGCACAACTAGAATCAATTTTATTTCATGCTACACAAAAATATGTAGCATAACTTCATTTTTATTTATAATTAATTTTTAATATGTATTTGTATTTTATAAAATTTTTGATACGGTTTAAAATTATAATTCATATATATAAAAATATTAAACGAAAATGTTTGAAAATAAAGATATTAATTATAAAATTATTCAGAATAATAAAAATTGTTAAAATTTATTTATTATTCGACAGGATATTATCGCGTTAACTATGATGATGAGAATTGGCAAAGAATTTCAAATTATCTAAACTCTGATAATTTTATGAAAATTCATGTTCTTAATCGTGCCCAAATTATCGATGATGCATATCATTTAGTGATAGCAGGTCACCTCAAAGTCTCTATATTCTGGAGTATCACATCGTATTTGGGTCAAGAAGAAGATTATATAGCATGGTATCCTATGTTTAAAGCTCTGGAACACATGTTTAATACTATTCCTATAGCAATGCTGGAACCAAAAAATTATAGATTTAAGGTAATTACTAATAGATTTCAATGTAAGTGTTACATTTCAGATATTTGCATATACTCTCATTCGTCACAAAAAATTAAAATACAATCTGAAGAATATATCCAGCAACGATAAAATTTTACATATTATTACCTCGCAAATAAATGTGCAAAGAAATTCAGTTTGAATAATCACTCACGCGAAGAACAGTCCCCAAAATGTATGATTTTCACTATTATCAATAATATTGATATATGATATTGTTAGTGGATACATAGCTGGGTGCTGAAAATCTTTGTCAATGAACTATAATTATAAACTTACAAACAAAAAATATATATTAAACTACTTTTAGAAAAGAATAAGAAACATGTTAAACAAGGTACTTGAAAGAATTGAATATGAAGAAATTCATGATATAGACGAACTTAGAATATGTTTGCGACAAGAAGCTGCAAAATGGGCATGTTTTCTCGGTGAAATTGATTGTATGGAAGAAGCCAACGATAAATTAAAACAACATCTCCAAGATCCTATAAAACACAGGTAAATTATGTTACATATTTTTAGTTTTTCTCAATCAAATTTCCTTGTAGATATCTCCTATAATGTTCAAATGAGTTAATACGAAAACCTTTAATAAGAAAATTAAATTCTATTTATATTTTAGACTTTTGCCATGGTGGAAGACATGGACATATTGTAGAGGTTTGATGATAACTACGAGATATGCGAAAACTTTTGGAACAGTGTATACTAGAGGATTGAACAAAACTGACATTAAATTTTCAGAATATTTGGCTTGCATTGAAGATACTGAGTTAATCAAAATGTATTTAACAACAATAGATAAACAGATCACTGATACAAAACAGAAAGATCAATTTCTCGTTAATAGTTTCTTACATTTTATTACGAAGCATGTGAAAAATCCAATTATATTGACGTATATATTAGATAATTTTCACAAAATAAAACCCAAGTAAAGTAACATATTTTTATAAATATTTTTACAAAAGTTTATTATATGTATTATATATATACATCTGATTTTTTTGTTTTTAGAAATGTTAATATAATTGCAACATTAATTATTATGATTAATAACGTATATTTCGAATATTTAGCTGAGGTAAAAATTTTAACATGTTTAAATATGTATACAAAATATGATAATAATGCGATATTAATAATTATTATTTAATGTTTAAAATAATTTTGATAATGTTACAATAACGTTGTTTAGTAATAATGGTATTAAAATTATTCATTTTAGAAAATAATGACGAACGTTTACAGTATTCTAGAAACTAACTTAGTTGAAGTAAATAACACAATTAGAAGCCATCAAATAAAAGAGGTAAATTTAATAAATATAATTATAAACAGCGATAGAAAATGAAATATTGTTCTAGCTTATTACTTTCTAAAGATCATTTTTATATTTGTTTTATTAGTTATATAAACAGTTTGTTAATTTCAGTATGCAAATCTTTGTTTATAAATATGAATTCATAATGCGGAATGATATTACTATTTATTTAATTTTTTATTATTATTAATAAAACTATTTGTTTCAGATGAGTGACAATGTAATTCAACAGATATACAGTCGAATTATGGACCGGGTTTCATTTCGCAAAAAACAAATCGAGAAGCAGACACAATATATTTTGAAAGTTTTTTCTTCTAATCGGTGGATGTAAAATAAATTGCAGCTTTTTATATGTGGACATATCTCATATGAATTTTTTTCATATAATTTTTTTATTTTGTACGTACTACTTCTTTTACTGCTTTAAATATTGTTTATTTAGATGTACTATCTGATGCTTTTATATTTATATTTATAAAATTATATGAATGCATGCATCAAAATTTTCATTCTTTTGCAATCTTGTTTGAACCAGTTAAACTATATATTATTACAAAAATTAATTAATTTGTACATTTATTATTATTAATTATGTAGAATTTGTGATGGATTAGCATTTTCTTAGTTTACAATAAATAACATGACAATTCTCTCTCTCTCTCTCTCTCTCTCTCTCTCTCTCTCTCTCGTAATGTAAATCCCCATATTAATTTTAAAAAGTTATTAATATTAATATTAATATTCATAAAATTATATAGCATAACTTTAAAATTGTAGAACATAATTTAACATTCCTAGCTGAGAAAAAATAGATTTGAAAATACTGCAAAATGTGTCAATCTAAATTGTAACTTACAATTATATTTAAAAGAAATTTAAGCAAAACTAGAAAAAAAAAATTTTAAAACGTTTGTCACAAGTTGATGGTTGCAATAAGTGCGCGTCTAACATGTGCTTCGTCCAATCAACGCGATAAATTTTAATATTATAAAATTATTTTATTTAACTTTCCATTATTTCGTTTCTTACTATTTTTAATGATAAATGTCGAATCTCTTTTAGCAAAGTAAAATTTGTACAACAATTTTGTAACAAGAACAAAAATTTGAAAAAGATCGGAAAACAATTAAAATATTTTAAAACCTTTCTGTAGTTCATCGATTAGAATATGAAAACGGAGCTATACTATGTAATATACGCACATATTAACGTATACTTAATTCAAGATTCGTAATATTCAAATAATTTATGACACATAAAAATTTATCGAATAAAATGCCTTTAAAATTGAAAAATATTATAATTTACACATAAAAGAAAATAAATATCAGACTAAACACATGTCTGTGTGTGTAAATTTGTAGTACGCATTTTTAATAGATATTTATGATTGATTTAATACTTTAATTGATATTTGAGTAATTGTGACACTTAACATATAATACTGTAAAAAGAAGAATCAATTATTATAACTTCTTTAGACATTTAAATAAAAATTAATGATAATTTAATTTAATTTTTACTTATACAATTAAAATCAATTTAATGTTTTATATGTTGCCAAGAATAAAAAGTTGACAAGTATAAAAGAGTATCACTGCATTGGAATTATTATTAAATAAAAAAATATTTTATTTTTATACTGTTATATAAATCATTTATTTGATACAAATAAATATTTATCTGTTTTGAAAAGAATTTTCTTACATCAAACATTAAATGTTTTTCACATTTAATCGATATTATTAGTTTCAAATAAATGATTTTTATTATGAAAGAGTGTTGAAATCGGAAAATCACGATTTATATTCAAAATTGTATTCTATTCTAGCTTTATTCTCACAATTTGTTTATTTAATATATATATAATTTGAAAAATAAGTAAAACAAATTTTGATAAATATTTTGTAATAACTTTTTACAAAAATGTTAAATAAAGATAATAATTTAATCAGTTATAAATTTTTATGGTTTCGCGCATAGAGTACGATGTCATAAACAAAGTATTAAAATTTTAAAATTAGAAAAATTAATAAAAAAGACAAAAATAGTACATATCGCGATTAATAAGAAATCGATTATAATATTCACGATATTATAATATATACTTATACATACAGAAGTAGGTACAGTATAAAGACACAGTATTGTACATAAAAACATGTATAATTAAATGTATGTTTCTAACAAAAATATAAAGTGTCCCATTTTAAAATAAATATTGTTGTAATTTCATAATCAAGGTTTCTCTTTCGAAAAATATACTTTATACAATATTTATAGAATATGAAATATCTTGTAATGTATTTATCTTCCAATATTATTTTATCAAATTAACTTCTGCACAAAACAATGTGAATAAATTGATTGGTATAAAAAAACATTCCAGTGATTTAAAAAATTGCAGTTTATAGCATTGTGCAACTGCATACATTTATAATAAATAATGACATATTTATACTAATTGAATTATAAAGATAAAATTATCGAAAAATGAGTATACGACGAGAAATTACACAATATTTTTAGCAAAAATGTTTGTTGAAATAAGTCACATAAATGTGTATAAACAATGCTTAATAATTTGATTAATTAGGCAAAAGTTAAATGTGCTAAATTAAATCAACCGTTACACACAAATGCCGCCATTCACTCAAATATATATATACATTTAACGACCTTAGAAGTTTTGTTGATTTAACACATCATATTTAGCATGAAGACACGAACAGAGAATCAGTCAGTTTTTCGTGGCCTTTCAAATCACGTCGCCGTAGATATAATACTTTTATTAAAGTGTGTGAATATATTATATTCTTCCAACATTGAATACTTCTATAGCATTATTTGCTGTAGTTCATTTTTAACACGATATATAACTTTCCAATTAATATTCTGTTTCGAAATATTCGGTAAGTCAGAAGAACTTTCATACATATAAAACATGAGTCTACAAATGCAAAAAATTTAATTATACGGTAGGACGGAATTTTATAGAATTTCCAACATATGTATAAGAATAAAGAAAATAGTTTTATTTAAAAATATTTGTAAATTTTAATTTAGAAATAATTTAAAATAATATCGATTATATAATATTTTATGAATTGTATGTTGCTTGGCGAATTATTAGTTTTATTAGTTGAAAAGTTGAAATAAATTTAGAGACGTTATATTATTGTTATTCACTTTAATTCTGCATTCAAAAATATTATATAAATGACTTGCAATAACCGCGAGGTATAACTTTTGCTTGCGAGATATAATTCTATTTGTTCTTTCTTCAGCGAGTTTGCTGAGTGACAAATTATCGATTCTCGTCTCACCTTTGCCTATATTGATTAAGCTGTCCGTTGTTATATTTTGCTTGTTTTGATATTTGTCTTTACCTGTTCATTATGATTCTTTCGCTCGTTGTCATATATATACATATATTCGATCGCCGACTTTCGTTCTCAATTTGATTTAACATTATAAAATAAAATTGAAATATAAAATAAATTTTATCGCCATAGTCGAAATAATCTTGAATCCACAAAAGTTTGATGTCGAATAAATAATTTTTGAAACTAAAGGATACTGCAATTAACAGATAATGAATATTATAATGGACACTTTTAATTGTCCTTTTATTACTAAATTATTAAAATTCTGTTTTCATAATTTTATTATGTATAAATAATATTTGTGTGTATTTTAATACTTACTTGTGATGTCAATATATTAAAGGTTGTATAGTCCTTGGCTATTATTTTATCACGGTTCGACAAGAAGTTTGATTCGAATAATATGTTCACGATTTTTAATTTTAAGTACACTTGAGAAGGAACAAAACCCATGGTCGAAACGTTGGGTGGTGATTATTGAATATTTATTAGCCAGTAATGGTCGTAAAAATTAATTATCCTTTCAAATATATTAAAATTAATAATTATTAAAATTTCATTTTATTTATGATTAAGTTGTACTTCTCAAACGTATTAGTATTCTACTATCAGTATATATACAAAATAGAAGTCAAAATAGTAATTCAGCTAATTAAAATTATGATTATTTTTATATTATCAAGCAACTGTCATCGCAAAAATTAACAATTTGACAATTGTAAAATGAATAATAGAAATAATATCAAAAGCGTGCGCCAAGCGCGCTCTTGTGTCGTCTAGTGATTTAAAAAGACATCAATACTATATTTAATTTCTTTATTTGTCTTTTGCTTACAGTGTGTTTTACAAACCTAAAATAAATAAATTACTAAAAATTTATTTAAATAAAATAAATTTTTGACACGATGATATTTCTACTATTAATCAGCGGAATAATGTATATCGTTGGGACGGCTTCTACTCCTAATCAATCGTCTTATGCTATCAACCATCAAAATATATAAAACCAAATCATTACGATATCAAGTTTATATCATGTATTAAAGAAAACATTTTCTATGGAGAATACAATATCAGCATAAGCATTCTTAATAAAACGCAAAATATATTAATCAACAACATACATTCAGAAAAATTATATTTTGAAAATATAATTTTAATTAAAAATCTAGAAAAACATCATGAGAATATTAAGTATACAGTTTATAAACCGACATATGATATTCAAGAAGACATAATTGACCTTTATTTTAAGGATAAGTTATTACCAGGAAATTACACTTTATATATTACATATTTTGGTTTTACTGATGAAGTCTTTAGAATTTTCGATGTGAAAAAAAAATTGCGTAAGCAAATAATATATGTTTATTAAAATCAATGTGCAATGTGCAATTACATAAAATCTCGTAATTAATATATATTATTTTTGTATTAAATGTTTCAAAAATTATTATATATCATGCAATTTAAATATAAAGACTACTAATTTTATACTTATAATGCATATTATTACATATTACATTTAAACATTTTTAAATTCCAACATTTTGATGCTTGTTAAAAATGTTTCATTCATATATGTTTTTAAAATGTATAGTTTGGTAGCTGCTACTCATTTCCATATAATAGGCGCTCGACAATTGTCTTCATGTTGGAGTCAACAAAATTTATTGTTAGAAGCAACTTTTAACATATCTATAGGATGTAATCAATGCACGGCTTTGTCAAATATGCCATTGCAAAATACAGAAAAACAAGCACAATATATTATTGAAACGCTTCGATACCACACCTGCAATGTCGCCGTATCTTGCAACAATAATTGTATCCAATTACTTATCACGTGTTGATAATAATACTCAACATATTCAAATGTGGTGCAGAAACGAATTTGTATTTTACATGAAATTTGCAAAAATGTAGCTGAAGAAATCACGTTGTTGTTCAAAAATACATGGAAACAACATTCAAACAACATTTCGAAAGTGACTCATGTTGCAATACCAAATTTTCTTGATAATGGCATAATAGTTTTTGGACTTGTTTTTATAAGTGAGTACAAGTACTTAAAATTACTTTAAAAGTAAAATTATATATTACTATGCAAAATTATAAAAATAAAAACATGATTTTTGTTTCTGTAAACGTGCAAAAGTATAAGATATTGTGAAAACAACAATTTTAAGTAGTAAAAATTAAGTTTATTCGTATTATAATTCAAAATGTTGCACTTTATTGTTCTAATATATACATACATAAAGGTAAAAATTTTTATGTTATATTGTATCCCCTAAAATAAATTTTAAAATTGTAATAAAGCAAAAGAAATAACATTTTTTATTTATTAAAACTAAAGTTTTTCATCGATGATTAACACGAAATCATTGTTTTATACTTAAATTAAAAATTACAAAAATATTATTTGTTACAATTTACAATACCAATTTGCTAAATAAAATTTTATTTTGTTTAAACGTTCTCAGTCTAACATTTAAATATTACTTTCAGCGAAATGGATATCGTTTACAATAAAAATTTGTATTCTGTTGCTCACAAAATCGAAGTAGCTCAATTAGTAGGACATAAAGTGACACAGCAATGGTTTTATAATCTGAACAATCCGTTTCGATCGGCTTCTTGGTTCAACAAAGCTCTTACTACATTGCTTGCAATAAATACTGTCAATAAGGTTATTTTAAATAATTTTAATGTTATCACCTCCCACTTTCTCGGAAACGATAACATACTTAAGCATTTATATAGCAAGATTTTCGTACATTAAATTATTTTTACAAAATGTATAAATTTTTAACAATATATACATATGTATACAATATTAAACAATATATACATACGTATACAATATTATACTGTTTTTAAAAATATCTTTTCAAATATTTATATTCATATAGGGTCACCTCGTATAAATATAATGTAAGATATGAAAACTTTCTTTATATTTTAACATCACTTTATCTGATATAATTATACTAGTTTTTCGGTTCGCTTTTCACGCGGGCCTCAAAGCCTTCACCCAACACTGATTCTGCCCTTACTAGTTTTCACACAATTTTTTATTTTACAAAACCAAAAATATATAATATTTAGTTATACTTTATTTAATATCTATCTATTTGTCTGTCCATCTGTCCGTCTGTCTGTCGTCATCCCCAAAAATTTTCATGATTTTGGTACCGAAAATAAATCAATATATGTGTGAGTGCGTGGGTGGAAGTTTTACATACAAATTTTTTTTAAATGTGATCTCTCGATATTTTGGAACATTTCGAACACATTGGCATAGAAAACTGCAAAATATTTTTTCGCGGAAACATACTCTCTTTTATGTTAAAAAAAATTTTTAAATTAAAAAGTCACCATCTCATCACACTCCTCAAAAAATTTGCAACTTGTATATATAAATATAAATAGATATCCAATTTCGAGAAAATTAATCAATAAATGTATGTATGCGTGGGTGTATGTAATAATGTAAAACTGTGGCGAATGTAGTAGTGTAAAACTGAATAAAAACACATAGTAGCGATTTCCGAAAATATGCGAAATTTTAGTACCAATTTCGAGAAAATCGGTGAATAAATATGTGAATGCGTGTGTGGATACGTGGAATAAAACTTAAAAAGAACCACACAGTAGTCTTCTCAGAAATTTTTGTAACATTTTGGTACCAATTTCGTGAAAATCGGTCCATAAATGCGCATGCGCATGGGTGAATGCGTGGGTGGAGGTGTAACACTTGAGAAAACCACCAATTGTGTTTATCTTCAAAAATTTGCAACATTTTGTTACCAATTAAAAATCGGTCCATAAATATGCGATTGCGTGAGTGGATGCGTGGATAGAGGCGTAAAACTTACAAAAATCACCATCGTCACACTCCCCGGAAAATTTGCGAAATTTTGGTACCAATTTGATGAAAATCAGTCCACAAATGTGGAAGCAGTTCGCGGTCAGACAGACAGACAGACAGACAGAAAGACGGACGATACTTATACATATAGATTTTTATAAAATCTAAAATAAAATAAATTAATCAGAAACTATTATATCCAATAATTATTTTATTTATTTTGGTAAAAAGAACTCTGCGATATAATATATTATGAGATAATAATTTTAAAAGTATGTAATATTTGTTAATTAGATAGATAGATAGATAGATAGATAGATAAACTTTATTGATTCCCCGTAGGGTTACAATTTAAAAAACAAACACAACATAAAACAAAAAACGCTTATATTATCCTCTTAATCTAACTTAACCTACTTAACCTAAACGCTTCTAAGGGGTTGAGCTTCTACTTCGGGTCGCCCTTATGGCCTTCTCCCCTTAGCTTCCGCTCAACCCCCAGTACACACACACACATCTCGCCGCGCGGGACTTCCGTTTCCTATTGCTTTCTACTCTTTACATTTCTTCTCCCTTTCTTATTCTCTCATTCCATTCCCCCTATTCTTTTCTCCTTCCCTCTCTCTCTCTTCCTCAATCCCTATCATCCATCCTTCTCCCTCTCCTCCCTCTCCTAAAATTTCTTTGACTACCTCCTGCCAGCTCCTCTCCCTTTCTCTACTTATTCTGCATCTTTCCCATGTATGCTCCCATGATTCCTCCTCTCCCCCACATAACCTGCATTTTCTCTTTTCCTCCTCCTCCCAGTACCTACTTTCTAACATCTCATTTCCCAACCTAAACCTCGCCACCCTCCTCCACCTACTCTCCCCCCAACCTTTTTTCAAACATTCCGGAATTCCTACTACTCTAATCTCCTTATACCATTTATTATATTCCGACTTTTCCATTCTTTCTTCCTTCCTTTCCTCTGTTCCTCCCAATCCTTCTTCAACAATTCTCCGAACCATCCCTCTTCCTCCTCTCTCCTCTTTTCTACCTCTTCTATCTTCTTCCCTCTTTTCCTAAAGTATTCTTCCCTTTCCTTTTCCCATTCTGAGCCCACCTTCCCTTCCTTCGCCCTTTCTCTCATTTCTTCCCAGCATTCTCTTGCCAGCTCACTTCCTCTTCCTTTCTCCATTCTTTTCTCAAAGCTCCATGCTCTCTTCCCCGCTCTTGTTCTCAGCTTTTCTCTTTTCAGTTCCTCTCTCACCATGTATCCTGGCGTCCTCCTATCCACCCCTAGTGTCCATCTCAGGTACCTTTCCTCTAATCTTTTTATCCCCTCTCTCTCCTTCCACCCCCATATTTCCACCCCATAGCTCATCACTGTCCACACCAGTTTATCGAACAACCACATCCTTCTTCCCCAGTCCTTTCCGAATCTTCTTTTCCCTATCCCCCACACCTGTCCCATAATCGACGCCGCTTTCCTCAACCTTTCCCTCACCTGTCCTTCTTGTCCTCCGTTCCTTTGTAGTCTATACCCCAAATACGTGAATTCCTTCACTTCCTCCATTCTCTCCCCTTTCCATCTCCACTCCCTTTTTTCCACCTCCCTCCTTTTCTCCTAAATCTCATCACTTTCGATTTCTTCGCATTTAGTTCCAACCTTTTTTGATCTAAATATTCTTCCAGCCTCTCTAACATGCTCCTTAGTTCCTCCTCCTCCTCTACCAGCAACACCATATCGTCTGCGTATGCCAGTGTGTAAATTCTTCTCTCCCCTAATCTCATTCCTCCCCTTTTCACCTTCCCCATCTTTTCCTCTAAGTCCGCTATCAAGATATTGAATAGCAGCGGACTCAGAGGACATCCCTGTCTTACCCCTTTCTCTATCCAAAACTTCTCTCCTATTTCTTCTCCTATCTTTATTCTGCATACCGTTTCCCTCATCACTTCCTCCACCCTTTTTCTCAATCCCTTCCTTATTCCGCTCTCCTCCATCGCCTCCATTACTTTCTCCCTGTCCACCGAGTCAAACGCTGCCTTCAAATCTACGAATAATGCTGTCATCCTTCCCCCTTTCTTTTCTAGTTGTCTATTAATCAAATAGTTCATCACATAGATGTTGTCCATCGTCCCCATTCCTCTCCTAAATCCCATCTGGTTTTCTTTTATAATCCTTTTCTCCTCCACCTCTTTCCTCAATCTTTCTGTTAATATCATTGTATATACCTTATACAGTGTCGGCATCAGCGTTATACCCCTATAATCCTCAACCACCTTTCCCTCTCCTTTCTTCTTTATCGGGACTATCACCCCCTCCTTCCATCTCTCCGGCCATCCTTCCCCTTTCCATACTCTGTTACAAAAATCCAGTGCCCAATTTTCCATATTCCCTCCTCCATATTTCCATACCTCATTTGGAATCTCATCTATCCCCGATGCTTTTCCTTTCTTCAGCTTCTTTATCGCCTCTATCAATTCTGTCCTGCTTATCTCCTCTTCCTCCTCCTCTTCCTCTCTATCTCCTCTGTCCTTTCTTTCCTCTCTTACTCTCCTCTCCTCCACTCCTCCTAGCAACTTCATGAAATAATCTCTCCACTCTCTCATCTCAATTTCCTCGTTAATTCCCTTCTCTCTCCCTCTCTCCTTGTTAACTATTTCCCATACTTCCGCTTCTTTTTTTGCCCCCGCTGCTCTCCTTTCCCATTTCTCGTTTTCTTCTTTTTTCTTCCTCTCACATAACCTCCTGTATTCTCCTTTTTTCCTCCTGTATTCTTCTCCCTCTCCTCCTTCCCTTCTCCACCTCCTCAGCTCCTTTCTTACTTTCCTTTTTCTTTCTCCACACTCCTCATCCCACCATCCCCTTCTTTCCTTCTTCATCTTCCTCTCTTCCTCTTCTGTTACCTTCATTGCTTCCTTTACCCTCTCCTCCATTTTCTTCCACTTACCCTCTATCTCTTCTTCTCCTCCTTCTAGTTCTCCTACCTTCTCCTTGAACCTCCTGCACCTTTCTTCATTCCAAGTTCCTCCTCTTCTCCCTCCTCGATTCTTTCTCCTCTCCTCTCTCTGTTTCCCTTTTATCTCCACCTCCACTGGCTGATGATCTGAATCTACTTTATCTTTTACTCTTAACTTTTTTACCTTTTCTCTACTATCCTCGTCTCCCAATACGTAATCTATTACTGTGTTCCCTCTCCCTCCTGTAAATGTCCATTCTCCCTCCTCGTCTCCTTCTGTGTTCCCATTCAATATGCTCCATCCTCTTTCTCCCAAGAATTCTAACAGTTTTCTTCCCTCTGCGTTGATTACTCTGTCCTTTGACTTCCTTTTACTTTCCCCTAACCCCTCCTCTTCTACATTTTCTTCTCCTCTCACTCTTCCTCCTTCCTCTCCGGTTCTTGCATTAAAATCCCCTCCTATTATCGTGTATACCTCATTCTCTTTCTCCTCTGTCCACTGCTCCATTTCTTTACATGCCTTCTCTATTCCTTGCCCTGCATATATTCCTATCACCCTCCATCTTTCTCCCCCCACCTTTACTCTTCCTATCGCAAAGCCTTCCTTTTCCATTTCCATCTCCTCTCCTTTCTCTGCTATCTCCTTTCTCATCCCCATAATCATGCCCCCTATCGCTCTTCCCCTCTCATTCTTTCTGCTAGCTCCTTGTACTCCCCATATGTATCCTTTCGGCAACATTCTTCTGACCTTCTTCCAACTCTTCTCTTCCATCCATGTTTCTGTCAACACTATCACCTCCCATTCCTCTAATCCTTTCCAAAAGTCCTTATCCTTGTTCCCTACTCCCGCCACATTCCAGAATCCTATCTTCCATCCTTCTTCATCTGTCCCCTTCTTCCTTTCCTCCTTCTCTATCTCTTCAGGTCTTCTTTCCTCCTCTCCTCTTCCCCCGTTACTTCTTCCCTTATGTTTCCTCTCTCGTCCTTCAGTACCTCTTTTACCTCATCCCATCTCCACCATTTTTCTCCTATTTTTATCCTGCCGTTGTTTATCCATGTCCTCTCTCCTCTTCTCTCTTCTCTCCATGCTATTTCTCCCAACTTCCTTCTTACCTCCCTTTCTTTCCATGTTAGGTCCATACCTATCTTTTCTTTTCTGCCTCTCAGTTTCTTCTTCTTCTCCATCACCTCCCATTTCTGCTCTTCCTTCTCTAATTCTATTACCACCATCTCTCTGTCTTTCTCTCTATCTTCTCCTATCCTTCTTATTTTCACTATTTTCGCTTTCGCCCCAATCTCCTCCATTAACTTCTCTGCTCCCTCCCTTCTTTTCCCCTCCTTGACCTCCAGATATTTGTTAATTATATTAATACAAAATGTTTAATTTTAATTTTATATTTACTTATATGTGTTTTTCAAAGTGAGAAAATGTTCTTTTTTAACATAAAAGAACCGCTAATGATATTAGTATTTCTTTCTAATGCATGTATTTACAGAGCGGTTATATTGATATATTAATTATTATTTTTTCTTTAGATGTATCGAGATAATCGAATAATACATTTATTTGTTGTTCAAAATCAACATACTTCTTTTTATTTGGATGGTGATTATCGTATGTGGAATTCTACTTTAGAAGATGACAATTTATTGAAAATTCGCGAATCCATCAGAGGTATATAACGTAATATAATAAAATAATCCGCGTAAATTTTGAACTATTAATATTATAAAAATATATGTTTAAAATTAAACGATAAAATTATGTTATTAGAGTACACACACACATATTTATGTACATTCTATAATTAATTTAAGGTATATACATATACGTATATATATACACACACAAAGTGTCCGGTATAATTACGCATATGTGTGTAGATAATATTAATCAAATGGTCTAATGTTTTGCTATATCTTTGTAACGAAAAATTTACTTTTAAAATAAAATGATAAACCGTGCGGCAATAGAAGACATTTCACTGTCATGCGATTACTATACCTTGTATATATATAATTTTGCCTTATAATATATAATATCACTTTACATGTAACCATTATAATAAATATATATTTATAATATATCTAATTTATAATTTTGATGTAAATTGTAGCACCCTGTATACTGCGCATGATGCAACACGCCGTAACCAAAGAAATATTTTGGAAAGGCATTCGATCATATGCAAATAGCAAGTGAGTAATACAATTATAGAATATATAATAAAAAAATAAAATTATATAAATCTTAACTTATGTATAATAATACAAATTTTACATATTGTCTCTTGTTATTTTGTTTTTGCTGACATTATTTCATATTATATTTTTTTAGTTTTACAATTCTGCTATTTTCCTAGATCTGTTACTAGATTTACCTTTACTTTCGTTATTTTTACTATGAAAACCGCTTTTGTTGAAATAAATTGTTGTTTTATGACTTTTTATATATACATATTCAATGTTGTTTTATTTTCGTTTCATAATTTATTATTTTTCAAAATAATTTTCAAATTAATTTGTAATCCTTTTATTATTTCCTTTATTGCTTCATATAGTCTATAATTATTCTTTTAATATCTGCTTTTTTTAATTGCATTTTGTGCTACGTTTGTTTTTTAATCTTATTTTAAATATATCTGACACGTATATCGATTTTCCGTTACTTTCTTTATTTTTATTTCATTTCTTTCGTAGAACGATCTCCTTTATTATATTTGTATATTATTTCTTGTTTTCTTTTTATTTTTATTTGATTTGTTTTGTTATTTCTTTTATTAATCATTTTATAACTCTCTGTCAATACTTTGATCAAATATAATCTGTATTATTAATGCCTAACAAATTAAATAGAATTATTAAATTTTATTTAATATAATGTTATTATCATAATATAAATAGAGGTGCAATTATATTTTGATTCTTAATATTTATTAAAATTTTTTTTAATATTAAAATTATACATACAATTTTAACATATTTATAATTTTTTTTTGCATAATTTACATACATTGTGGATTTAGCCAATTTCATCGTCAAAGTTTTATGACTTTTTTGGAAGAAGTTGTTGCTGATGCAAAAAATGTAGATATTGAAATATCATTACAAACAATGAAATATTGGACTTTGGAAGAGCATTGCCCTCTCATCAAAGTAGTACGAAATTATAATATTTCTTGGAGCCATTATAATATATCGATACAAAATTCCGACATATTAAAAATTGATTGCGTTCCTGTAATTTATACTATCCAGTCGGTTCCCGATTTTGACAGTTTGATGCACCGCCTTTTCTGCAAATCAAAAGATATTCTTACATTCACTCATAACGAGCGTGGTTGGATTATAGTAAATGTACAACAAATAGGTAAATATCGACCAATTGACTTATTATGACTTATTACTCGTCTTTATTTTACACACGTACACAATTAACATTATTTTATATTTTTTCTGTTTTATACATTATAAGATATAAATCTGAGATATTCATTATATAACTACTATAGTTTTAAATGTTTTGTGTAATATGTTTTGCTGTATTATTATATATAATTAATAAAATGTATATATCGGCGTTTTCAACATAATATCAATCAATATTAAAGTTATATTTTTACAAATATTTTATTTTAATAATAGTAAAAATGATTAAAAAGTTAATTATTTTTATAAAATTAGTATAATAATATAAGTGTAGGTGAGATAAAATTTTTGTACAGTTTCATGTTACAGAACTTTTGCTGATTAGTAAAAAATAATTATTATACATATGCACAACTAGAATCAATTTTGTTGTATTTTCTAGAAACAACTCTAGTTCTAGCTTAGGCTTAATCCAATACTTTATTAACGTATATATATTGATACGTACAAATACAAAGGAGAACTACACCCGACGACCGTCGGAGACGAACAAGGGAGAGCGTGAGGATCAGTTCCTTCACGCAGGTCTCCGTCGCTTACCGCCCTCGATATTAGCGCCGCGAGTTAACGGCCTAAATCATTAAAGCCCCGCGAAATTCTAAAGCTGTTCGCGGTCCTAACACCTTTCTTTCTTAAGCGAATTCCTTTCTTTACATGTAACAAAAAAAACGTCGCTTTAACATAACATGAATTATTTCTTTGCTTTGACGATTGTGCCTTTAGCCGCAATTCGATCGGATTTTCGTACAATGCTCCCTATAACAGGCTCACGTGGTTTCCGCATAGTTCCTTTTTGGATTACATTCTTTTGCTGCTTAATCGATTCCTGCGGAACGATCTCTATCTGCCGGGGCTGTGAACGATCCGGCGGGTGTTGTTGAATCTCCTGTGAAGATTCTTTCTGTTGCTCTTTATCGGTAGTTTTATTTTCCGATGCGTTCGCTTCTATTCGAACGATCAAATCCTCCACGGGACCGTGATCCCAGTCTGTTTCTTGATTCGGAGTTGCCTGTCCTATTAATCGCATCTGATTAACGTGCCTTCTCCAGGTTCGTCCGTCGTCAAGCGTGATTAAGTAATGCACTATTCCGCAACGCTTTTTAATTCTTCCGAATTTCCATTTATCTTTACCTACATAATTCCTACACGATACTCGCTCATCCAAATTAAAGCTTTTATTAACACATGAATATGAGGAACTCGTCTCCTCTTTCTCAGGTAAAGGAAATAACAAGTCAAGTCTTGTGCGAAGCTTCCTACCTAAAAACAGTTCTGCTGGCGACTTTTTAGTCGTCGCATGCGGCGCAATACGGTACTGTAGTAACATTTTACTAAGATTTTCGCGTACATTAGTCGTGTCCGCCTTCATGCGTCGTAACGCATTTTTTAAGGTCTGTACAAAACGCTCGGCTTGGCCATTTGTGGCTGGGTTATACGGTGCCGTAAATTTAAATTTCACTCCATTCTGTTTTAAAAATGTTTTAAACTCAGTCGATGTGAATGTTCTACCGTTATCGGTTACAAAAATTTGTGGGATGCCGTATTTTGTAAATATATCCCTGCATTCCTCTATAACTGTTTTCGCCATCAGATTTTTTACTATTCTTACTTCGGGCCATTTTGAATATGAGTCAACTACGATGAAAAACCAACGTCCTAAGAAAGGACCTGCAAAGTCCGCATGGACTCGATGCATGGGTGCCGCTGATGGCTCCCAAATGTGTTGTTCCACTTTTTGTGGATTGTTTTTGAACGTATTACAATTTTGGCAATTTTCCACTAGAGCTTTTATATCATTGTCAATTCCTTTCCACCAACAATAACTTCTAGCTATACCTTTCATTTTATTTATTCCAAAATGACCCGTATGTAATTCTTCTAGTATTTTTTTATGCAAAGATTTCGGTATTACGACCCGATGTCCTCGAAAAATTACACCTTCTTGTAATAAGAATTCCGTTTGCTCTAAATTGAATCTGTCAGCGCTATGTGCCAGAGTGCCTGATTGTAACGCTTGTAGGAGTTTTTGTAGCTCCGTGTCTTTTCGTGTATGCAACTCGATGCATTTTGCATCCACCGGTAGTGTTTCTAGTGTACTTAATTCGAAAACATCTATTACATCCATATTTTTTGTATATTCTTTTAACGGTAATCTCGAAAGGCAATCGGCATTCGCATGATTTTCCGATTTTCTATACCTGATAGTATAATTGAATCCCTGCAAGAAAATGGCGTAATGCTGCATTCTCATTGCACTATAAACCGGCAAACTTTTATTAGGAGATAAAATGTGTACTAATGGTCTGTGGTCCGTAACTAGAGTAAACTTATTCCCATACAGATATTGATAGAACTTCTTAATACCGAATATTATACTATATGCTTCTTTGTCTATCTGTGCGTATCTTTGCTGCGTATCGGATAAAGTTTGTGACGCATATTGTATAACCCTTTCCGACCCATCGGGATATGTATGCGAAAGTACTGCCCCTATTCCGTGGGGACTAGCATCCGTCGCGAGAACCACCGGTAATTTCGGGTCAAAATGTACCAAGACTTGATTGCTCACAAATGCCTCTTTGGCTTTTTTAAAAGCTACTTCTTGTTCTTCTGACCACGAGAAACGAGTATTCTTATGTAATAACTTATTTAACGGTCGTAAGATTGAACTTAGATTTTTAATAAATCTACTATAATAATTAATCATACCGATGAAAGCTCGGACGCCAGAAACATTTTGTGGGCGCGGCATGCTCCTAATTGCTTCCATTTTAGAAGGTTCTTTATGTATACCGTCCTCTCGTAATACGTAACCGCAGTATTTAACTTCATGTGTAAAAAACTCTGATTTCTCTAAGTTGATTCGCACGTTATGCTTATGCAATCTCTCTAGTACCATATGTAATCTATGTAAGTGATCCTCCTCCGAATGGCCTGTAATTACTATATCATCGAGAAAAATTGCCACTCCAGGAATATCCTGCAATATTTGCTCCAATGTTCTTTGCCAGATTGCCGGAGCTGATGCGACACCGTACATCAGTCTATTAACTAAGTAAAGTCCTCTATGCGTATTTAAAGTAAGTAACTTCCTATTTTCCGGGTGTATTTCTAACTGTAAATAAGCTTGGCGTAAGTCAATTTTTGAGAATTTAACGCCACCCGCTAACTTAGCAAAAAGTTCGTTTGTAGTTGGTAACGGGTGTTCATCAATTATAAGTTTAGGATTTATTGTGGATTTGTAATCTCCACATATTCTAATAGTGCCATTCGCTTTCAACACCGGAACAATAGGTGTAGCCCATTCCGAGTTTTCCGTCTTTGTAAAAATTCCCGCTTTAACTAATTCATCTAATTCATTATCTATTAAAGGAATTAATTTAAATGGTACTGACCGCGCCTTTAAAAATACCGGAGTTGCATCCGGTTTCATTGTAAGTCTGGCTTGTATGCCCGAAATCTTAGCCAAAGTAGGCTCACGTATTTCCTCAAATTTACGTAAAGTTAATTGTAATCGCTTATGAAAATTCCGCGGCGTAGAATTAATATTTTCTAATAACTTGCACTCGAGGAACTCTGGCACTCCACGCTGACCTTTCAACTGCCTTATCCATTCCCTACCTAATAACGGTTCTTTATCTAATTCAGTTAAATAAATATTCAATTTCTTTCGTGTCTCATTTCCTTGTACATGCACTGATATATATCCTAAGATTTTAACTATTGTCTTAGAATACGAAATTAAATTAAGATTTGTTCTGAAAATGGTCGAACCCGGAAATAAAGCACGTACCTGCTCGCAATTCATGATCGTGACTGCAGAGCCACTATCCACTTCGAAACGAATGCGCTTGTTATTAACTAAGAGCGTGCAAAAGAATTTATCCCGTTGCTCTGCTTGCTCCAATTGTAATACCTCATCCAAATTATTGGCATACTCCTTCTTTTTGAAACAGACTTTTGCTAAATGTCCGGATCCTCCACAGCCCGAGCAACGTACTTCTCTACTTAACGTGCATTGGGAAGCATAATGCCCTTTTCCGCATCTGAAACACTTAATTAATTTAGTGCCCTCCTTATTCGAGTTAGAACGCGACGCCTTATTATTATTTTGCTTCGAAAAATTAGTAATCGATAATTTCTTTTTAAAAGAATTATGATTATTATTGTTGTCCTTCAATTTCTTCAATGGCTTCTTCCCCGCCTGTAGATATTCCACACCTGCCGTTGGACTTGTAGCGCCATTTTGTAAAGATGTTGCTCCCTGCTCCGAAAGCTCCATCGTGGTGGCTATCTGTACCGCTTCCTCGTACGTTAACTCCTTCTTCTCAAGAAGTCTCGTTTGAATCTTCTTACTTGAGAGACCAAAAACCAATTGGTTCCTTAGGGCTGTCTTCAAGTAACTCCCAAATTTACAATGTAAACTTAACTTGTGTAGGGCAGCCGCAAATTGTTGTACTTGTTCGCCCTCAATTTGTCGCCGTTGGTGAAATTTAAAATTTTCCGCTATTTCTAACGGAGCCGGATCATAGAATTCTTCCAACTTGGCCGTCAATGATTCGTAATCCTGCGAGAACGGGTCAGCCGGATCTAATCGGTCACACAGTATATCAAATGCGCTAGGTCCCATATAGTGTAGTAAATACGGAACACGCACGTTTCCCGTGATCCGGAAAATCGTAAAGGCTCCTTGTAGCCGTTGTAACCAACGCCGCCACGTTGTCACTTCCGGACTGAAATTTTCTATTGTAAAGGAATTTGGAATAGCGATCTCTTGCGTTCTTGCTAATTCCCGCGAGGAACCCGCGCCAGTATTATTAGTAGTCATCCTATCCAAGAAATTTGCAATAGCTCACTGTGTAGATAATCCGTGCACGTGGGCTTATCGTGTAACCTTCCGATACCACCAATAATGAAGAAAGGAAAACAAACAACCCAACGACAAAAAAAAAATATATATATATCCGATCCTCGTCGCCACTGTTGTATTTTCTAGAAACAACTCTAGTTCTAGCTTAGGCTTAATCCAATACTTTATTAACGTATATATATTGATACGTACAAATACAAAGGAGAACTACACCCGACGACCGTCGGAGACGAACAAGGGAGAGCGTGAGGATCAGTTCCTTCACGCAGGTCTCCGTCGCTTACCGCCCTCGATATTAGCGCCGCGAGTTAACGGCCTAAATCATTAAAGCCCCGCGAAATTCTAAAGCTGTTCGCGGTCCTAACAAATTTTATTTTATGCTATACAACATTATCTCGCACAATTTCATTTTTAATTTATAATTAATTTTCAATATGTATTTGCATCTTATTAAATTTTTGATACGTTTTTAATTTATAATTTATATAAACGAAACTATTAAACAAAAATGTTTGAAATTAAGTGTATATTAATAATAAAAATTATTCAAAATAATAAAAATTGTTAAATATTATTTATTATTCGACAGGATATTACCGCGTTAACTATGATGATGAGAATTGGCGAAGAATTTCAGATTATCTATACTATGATGATTTTACGACAATTCATGTTCTTAATCGTGCCCAAATTATCGATGATGCATTTCATTTAATGATAGCAGACCAACTCGAAGCCTCTATATTCTGGAGTATCACATCGTATTTGGATAGAGAAATAGATTATATCGCATGGTATCCTATGTTTAAAGCTCTGGAATACATGTTTAGTACTTTTCCAGTGGACGAAAGAACTGAAAAATATGCGGTAAATATTAATCAATTTCAATGAAAGTATTACATTTAAATATTTATATATACACTGATTGATCACAAATAATTTAAATATTTATAGAGAAATATATCTAGCGATAAAGTTTTACATATTATTACGTCTCACATAAATGTGCAAACTAATTCAGTTTAAATAATCACTCACGCGATGAACAGTTTCCAAAAGTGTATGATTTTCACTACTGTGAATAATGATAATATATAATATTGTTTTGGATACATAGCTGGATGCTTAAAATCTTTGTCGATGAATTATAATTATAAACATATTAATAAAGAAATATATATTTAATGATTTTTAGGATAAAATAAATAAGACAAAAACCATATTAAACAAGTTACTTGCAAAAATCAAATATGAAGAAATTGATGATGCAGACGAACTTAGAATATGTTTACGACAAGAAGCTGCAAGATGGGCATGTTTCCTCGGTGACATCACTTGTATGAAGAAAGCGAAAAATAAATTAGAACAACATCTCCAAGATCCTATAAAACACAGGTAAATTATGTTACATATTTTTAGTTTTTCTCAATCAAATTTTTTTGTAGATATCTCCTATAATGTTCAAATGAGTTGATACGCCAATCTTTAATAATAAAATTAAATTTTTTTGTATTTTAGACTTTTGCCATGGTGGACGGCATGGACATATTGTAGAGGTTTGATGATAACTACTATGAATGAGACCACTCTTGAATTAATGTATATTAGAAAAGTGGAAGCAACTGACATTAAATTTTCAGAATACATGGCTTGCATAAACTATACTGATTTCATCAAAATGTATTTATTTCATAAACAGCACTCTAATACAAGAGAGGAAGATCAATTTCTCGTTAACAGTTTCTTACATTTTATTACGAAGCATGCGAAGAATCCAATTATACTGCAGTATATAGTCCAGAATTTTAACGAAATAAAACTAAAGTAAAGTAACATATTTTTATAAATATTTTGTACAAAAGTTTATTATATGTATTATATATATACATTTTTTTGTTTTTAGAAATGTTAATATAATTGCAGCATTAATTATTATGATTAATAACGTATATTCCGAATATTTAGCTGAGGTAAAAATTTTAACATGTTTAAATATGTATACAAAATATGATAATAATGCGATATTAATAATTATTATTTAATGTTTAAAATATTTTGATAATGTTACCATAACGTTATTTATTAATAATGGTATTGAAATTATACATTTTAGAAAATAATGATGAACGCTTACAGTATTCTAGAAACTAACTTAGTTGAAGTAAATAACACAATTAGAAGACATCAAAAGAAGACGGTAAATTTAATAAATATTATTATAAAAAGCAAAAGAAAATAAAATATTGTTCTAGCTTATTAATTTCTAAATATCATTTTTATATTTGTTTTATTTGTTATATAAACAGTATATTAATTTCAGTATGCAAATCTTTGTTTATAAATATTATTTTATAATGCGGAATGAGATTACTATTTATTTTATTTTTTATTATTATTAATAAAACTATTTGTTTCAGATAAGTGACAATGTGATTAAAGAGATATACAGCCAAATTAAAATCCGGGTTTCATTTCGCAAAAAACAAATCGAGAAGCAGAGACAATATTTTGAAAGGTTTTTCTTCTAATCGGTGGATGTAAAAAAAATTGCAGCTTTTTATATGTGGACGTACCTCATATGAATTTTTTTCATATAATTTTTTTATTTTGTACGTACTACTTCTTTTACTGCTTTAAATATTGTTTATTTAGATGTATTACTATCCGATGCCTTTATATTTACATTTATAAAAGTATGACTGCATGCATCAAGATTTTTATTTTTTTTTGCGATCTTGTTTGAACCAGTTAAACTATATATTATTACAGAAATTAATTAATTTGTACATTTAATATTATTAATTATGTAGAATTTGTGATAGATTAGCATTTTCTTAGTTTACAATAAATAACATGACAATTTCTCTCTCTCTCTCTCTCTCTCTCTCTCTCTCTCGTAATGTAAATCCACATTTTAATTTTTAAATGTTATTAATATTAATATTTATACAATTTAATAGCATAACTTTAAAATTGTAGAACATAATTTAACATTCCTAGCTGAGAGAAAATAGATTTAAAAATACTGCAAAATGTGTCAATCTAAATTGTAACTTACAATTATATTTAAAAGAGATTTAAGCAAAGCTAGAAAAGAAAATAATTTTTTAAAACGTTTGTCACAAGTTGATGGTTGCAATAAGTGCGCGTCTAACTTGTGCTTCGTCCAATCAACGCGATAAATTTTAATATTATAAAATTATCTTATTATTTAATTTCCATTATTTCGTTTCTTTCTATTCTTAATGATAAATGTCGAATTTCTTTTCGCAAAGTAAAATTTGTACAACAATTTTATAACATGAACAAAAAATTCGAAAAAGATCGGAAAACAATTAAAATATTTTAAAACCTTTCTGTAGTTCATCGATTAGAATATGAAAACGGAGCTATAATATGTAATATACGCACATATTAACGTATACTTAATTCAAGATTCGTAATATTCAAATAATTTATGACACATAAAAATTTATCGAATAAAATGCCTTTAAAATTGAAAAATATTATAATTTACACATAAAAGAAAATAAATATCAGACTAAACACATGTCTGTGTGTGTAAATTTGTAGTACGCATTTTTAATAGATATTTATGATTGATTTAATACTTTAATTGATATTTGAGTAATTGTGACACTTAACATATAATACTGTAAAAAAGAAGAATCAATTATTAACTTCTTTAGACATTTAAATAAAAATTAATGATAATTTAATTTAATTTTTACTTATACAATTAAAATCAATTTAATGTTTTACATATTGCCAAAAATTAAATTGACACATATAAAAGAGTATCCGCGCATTGAAAAAATTATTAAATTAAAAATATTTTATTTCTATACAGCTATATAAATCATTTATTTGATACAAATAAATAATTATCTGTTTTAAAAAGAATTTTCTTACATTAAACAATAAATATTTTTAACATCTAATCGATATCATTAGTTTCAAATAAATTATTTTTATTATACAGAAGTATTGAATTAAATATTTTATTTAAATTAATAAAAATTTTATTGCGCTATCAGAGAGTTTTGATAAAATAAACTTTGTTAAAAATTTTTAGAGGCCTTCTATGTATAACATAATATATGTTCGGAAGATAAAAATATAATAATTTTTTATATAATTATCAATTATAGAATATTTTAATTTTACAAAGAAATTTGTAATTTAAATTCGCAACAATTGTTGTCACATCTGATTTGATGTATCGTGATAGTTCATTAAAAAGTCACGATTTATAATCAAAATTATATTCTATTTTGGCTTTAACCCTAGTTTATTTATTTAGTATATATATATATATATATTTATAACATATACATACAGGCGTAAGTAGGCACAATATTGTGCATAAACATGTGTATAAACAAATGTATATTTCTAACCAAAAAAATATAAAGTAATCCATTTTAAATAACGTATTTTTGTTATTTCAGAACCAAGATTTCTCTTCCGAAAAATATACTTTATACAACATTTATAGAATTTGAAAGAAGCGTCGCGTCGTAAATATATGATCTTATTTCAGATGGAGACATTTTTGAGATTTGATAGTTATTATTATATTTTTAAACGTTTTATGTTTAATACTGACAAAAATATAAAACATCTTGTAATATATTTATCTTCCGATATTATTATAGCTGAATAAATTTTTGCACGAAATAATGTGGATAAATTGATTCGTATAAAAAAAAACACTCCAGTGATTTAAAGAAAATTGCAATTTATAGCAATGTGCAACTATATACATTTTTCTTAAATTATGATATAAGTAATATATATATCTATAGATATAAGCACCGTCTGTCTGTCTGTCTGATCGCGAACTACTTCGACATTTATGGACCAATTTTTGTGAAACAACTACCAAAATGTTGCAAATTTTTCGGGGATGGATGTTCTGTTTTAAGTTTTACACTCCCACCCACGCAATCGCATATTTATGGACCAATTTTTTCAAAATTGGTACCACAATTTTGCAAATTTTTCAAGGAATGTGAAAGTAGTTCGAAATAGTGGTCAAACAGACAAACAGACAGACATACAGACAGACTTAAATAGTCTAAAGAAAACTTAAAAATCTCATTGTCGCACACCTCCATAAATTTGCAACATTAAAGAAAATCCGAAATCTTTTACGGCAAATGTTATATACAAAGAGGTTTTGTAAAATGAAAAATTGTATGAAAACTAATAATAGCGGGGTCAGTGTTGAGAAAAGTGTATAAATAATGCCTATTTATTTGATTAATTTAGCATCTTTTAAATGTGCTAGGCTCAATTAAGACAACTGTTACACATAAATGCCGCTACACACATAAATATATATGTAAATATATATACATATAACGACCTCAAAAGTTTTGTTGACCTAACACATTATATTTATCATGAAGACACGTACAGAGAATCAGTCAGTCTTTCGTGGTCTTTCGAACCGCGTGGTGGTAAATATAATCTTTTTAATAAAGTGTGTGAATATATTATATTCTTCCAACATTGCATACTTCTAAAGCATTAATTTGCTGCAGTTCATTTTAAAACAATATATAGTTCTAATCAATATAATTTTCCAATTGACATTCTGTTTCGAAATATTCGGTAAGTCAAAACAATTTTCATACATATTAAACATATATGTGTTCATACATATTATACATTTACTACAGATTCAAGAAAATTTAATCATACGGTAGGACGGAATTTTATAGAATTTCCAACATATGTATAGAAATAGAGAGAATAGTTTTATTCAAAATTATTTGTAAATTTTAATCCTAAGATAATTTCAAATAATATCGATAATATAATATTTTACGAATTGTAATATGTTTGGTGAATTATTAGTTTTATTAGGTGAAATGTTGTAATAAATTTAGAGACGTTGTATTATCGTTATTCAGTTTAATTCTGCATTTAAAATATTATAAATGACTTACAATAACCGCGAGGTATAACTTTCGCTTGCAAAATATAATTTTATTTGTTTTTTCTTCAGCGAGTTTGCTGAGCGAGTGACAAGTTATCGATTCTCCGGTCACCTGTTTATATCGGTTAAGCTGTTATAATTTGTTTGTTTTGATACTTTGTCTTTCGTTACCTGTTTCTTATGATTGTTTCGCTCGTTGTCATATATATACATATATTCGATCGCCGACTTTTGTTTACAATTTGATTTAATATTTTAAAATAAAATTGAAATATAAAATAAATTTTAGTTCCGGTATTTAACGTCACAGTTAAAATAATTTGAACCCACCAAAGTTTGATATCGAATATTTTATTTTTGAAAGTTGCAAATATACTACAGTTAACAGATAATGTATATTATAATAGACACTTTTAATTGTTTTTTTATTACTAATTTATTAAAATTCTGTTTTCCAAAGTTTCTCGTACTTTTTATTATTTATAAAAAATATCTGTATGTATTTTAATACTTACTTGTAATGACAATATATTGAAGGTTGCGTAGTCCTTGGCTATTATTTTATCACGGTTCGATAAAAAGTTTCATTCGAATAATATGTTCACGGTTTTTAATTTTAAGTACACTTGAGAAGGACCAAAACCCATGGTCGAAACGTTGGGTGGTGATTATTAAATATTTATTAGCCAGTAATGGTCGTAAAAATTAATTATCCTTTCAAATATATTGAAATTAATAATTATTAAAATTTAATTTTTACTTATTATTAAGTTGTATTTCTCAAACGTATTAGTATTCTACTATCAGTATATATACAAAATAGAAGTCAAAATAGTAATTCGGCTAATTAAAATTGATCATTTTTATATTATCAAGC